ATGATCATTGACAGCCTGCCTCCTCCTTTCTTTTTTAATGATACATGTCGGATCCATTTGTTTCACTTCTCCTGCTGGATGACCAATAATACAGGCTTCACCATTCTGAGGCACTCGACCAAATGTCTTGAGGAGCCCTGGTGGCACCTTCATTTTCTTTGTTTGTGTTGTTTCGTTGGGTTTCTGGCCCTCAGGGTTGAGCTCAAGTATGGCATAATCTAGTTCATCCTCTCCGGAACAGAGGTAAAACCGAGCTAGCTGGAAGTAGTAGAAATTTGTGAATGGCTCGGGAACCTCATAGTTAAAGACAGCAAACACATTTATACCCTCCTTCAGCTTTTCTTTTTCAACACAATCTTTGAACAAGTGCGCATTAGTCACAATGAAGTTGTCAAACAGCACAAAGCCCGTGCCAGTACTAACATCCCCGACAATCACTTTGCAGACTGACTCGCCCATTTTTAGCAGCTTCTTGACTCTGTGAACTTCACTGAAAGACTGTTGGATCTTTCCAAAGTTTTCCTTCCTCAAGTTCAGTGCTTCCTTATAAGAATTATCAGGGAATCTACTCTCCATCAGTTCTTTCAGATCTGGAAACTGCTGACGCAGTATATCACGAATCTCCCCAATGTCATCAACACTGCCTCTTTTCTCCACTTCTGTTCTGACACTGATTCCTCTCTGCTTTATTACATCTAAGCTGCTTTTGCCACCGCACCCTCTGATTGTAAAATTACTTGATGCAACCAGAGTTTTCCCCTGCTTTTCTTTTTTTTTCATCGTCCTTAGCTCTCTTTTGTTTCCGTGGAGAGACATGACTCTAAAATTCCTTTTTCCGATCTTCGTTTGTCAACCTTCTTGTTATTACGTCGTTATCTGGCAGCTTGGCATTGTATCTGCTCTTGACAGGTGCAAGCGCCGAGATCATCAATGAAACGACCGTCTCTTCTCAGAGCCTCTTCCACAGTCATCCCCTTCTCCCCATAGACACACAGATACTTGAACTGTTTTACAGCGCTGTTTCTAAAAAGCTTTTTTTGTTTGGTGAACAGCCCTCCCACTGTGTCAATGTAGAAGACAGAATATTTATCCCTTGAATGTATTGGTTGGCAATGTTGGCCTTGAGCCTCTTCAACCTTTTCTGACTCCCATGATATGATCAGAGGCTCACCATCACTGATACAAGAACAAGGGCAATGTGTTGCAACGATAGATTC